CTGGCCCTCATATGTGGGATCCGAACCATGGCCCTCTGGCATCCCAAGCCAGCTCTTAACCAACGCGCCACTCAGCCGGCCCACTTTTTACCTTTTTAATACAGCTCCTAGGAAATTTAAAATTACCTATGTGGCTCGCATTACATATATATTTCTATTGGTTCCTGGCTGGTCTAGTTGGACTAATAGTTCCAGGCAGTATAAGCCGCTCCCTCTAGTCAGTAGTTTAGTCCACCCAGGGAGAGTCAACCTGTCATGCTTTACAAAGTCTTACATGGCCCAGGGAATAAGGGAACTTTAAATAATGCCTACTCCCAACAGTCACCTGATGCCCAAACCTGCCTACAAAATCCACCCAATGGTTATCTATCACACATTCAAATCCTTTCAATGACAATAAACTCACCAACTCTCAAAGCAGCCCTTTTTATCTTCACACAACAGTTGAGAATTGGACACTTATCCCTTATATTAATGGAGATTTACCTCTCCAGAGGGCTGATCTCAGCCCTACGTTACCCCTCTGAGCCATTTATAAAAGGCCCAAGAATAGGAAAAAAACCATTTGCAGATCACTTACAGTATACTGTGTAAATTTTAGTTTGCTACAGCATTTGCATTTAACCCACACAGCAAAAGAAGTAGGTACTGCTGTTATCTCCATTTTATAATAGGGCCTATATGACTCACAGAACTAAAGTGACCTGCCTAGGGTACCAATCAGAAAATGGCCGATTTCAACCCAGAGCTGGTTGGCTTCTAAAACACCTTCATTTAACATTGCTTCTGCCTCTTCTGGTCATCCAGCCTGTTAGTAGTGACAGGCTCAATCCAGAAGCAACATTGCCCTGGCCAGATAAGGGTGCTCTTACCTGTCTCTGCAGCCCCAAGGATGTCCAGTTTGTCACGGATGGCAGGTGCCAAGGTCAGAGCTTGGATTGGTGTGGGTGCAGAGAAGCCCAGAAAGCTGAGTGCTCGGAGAACTGGCTTGGGTACAAACAGGTCCTTCCAAGCTGATATGTCTGCCTTCTGGTCATGCACTTCAGGTATCCACGTCTTTGCTTTTTTAGGCACCTGTGGAGTAGTATCCTGGGAAGGCTCTGATTTTTTTTTCCCTTTCTTTTTCTTCTTTTTTGGAACAGCCTGGGCTGGACTTTCTGATGCCATCTCCCCTACCTCTGGATCAGAACAAACTGTACCATCTCCCTGGGGTTCTGGCTCAGCACCTTTGACCTCAAACTCTTTCTGGGCACTGGTTCCTTCAGTTTCCACATTTTTACTCTTTTTCAACTTCATCTTTTTCTTTGAGGAGCTAGATTCTCCTTCCTCCTCTCCTTCTGAAACAGCTTGTGCCTTTCTCTTCTTGGGCTCCTCCTTTGAGAAGAGACTGGAGGAATTCTTGGCAGGGGAGACCAACTGGTAATCTGTCAGTTCCTCAAAGCACACCAGGTCATCCATCTGTCCATCTGCAAACATATTTGGGTCAATCTGCACCTGCTTCCATTTTCCCACAACCTTGATTCCCTTTGTCTGAAATTTGCCATATCTTGGTGCCTTTGACCTTGATGTTGTCTCCTTCCACTTCATGGTTGCTGAAAAGAAGAGAAATGTTTCATTAGGTTGGCAACTGAGAAGCATAGGATTCTGAGGCAATGCATATTTTCTAAGCAGCCTATAACATATCGGGTCCTGCAAAGATGGCTCTGAGCACTGATGCTCCCAACTAGAGAAGATCAAAAAAAGGAAAGAAATACACCCACAAACCAGGTAGCTTGGCCTAGAACAGAAAATATGGAGCAAAGACGTATGAGCTACATGGGGTATGAATTCAATACTTACTGCTTGTGTTCCCTTGGAAAAACCTGCTTAATCCTCTCTGAACCTCAGTGTTCTCATCTCTTTTAAGAGAAGGGGGCCCAATAATACCTAAGTCACAAAATGTTTTAGGATAAATAAAATTATGGAAAGCATGGAGGGTAAAGCCTGCAATACCCAAGCCACACTGAAGGCAGGGTAAGAATTTGGGGTGCTTTTTTTGCGGGGGGGAGTGGCGGGGGCTGAAGAGGCCAGCTTTATTAAAAGTCAACAGAGCTTTCTTCCTCCGCAAGTCTTGCCCCAAGAACAAAGGCCTGTTCCACCATTCTGGCCTTTGCCCAAATGCCTTCAAGCCCGTCCAGCTTTTTCATTACATTTTAAGTGACTTAAAAACCATGTAAGCAGTAGTAGTTTGAGTGGAACTTGGCCCTTGTTCGCCCCTTTCAGAAAGAACAGATCCTGTGAAAAAGACAAAGCTGAACGAGCCCTCATCGCCTGTGGCGAACGTACTGATCTCTGCGAGCCTGTTTCCTCGCCTGTGAAACGAAGGCGATGAGGCTGTGTGTCTCATCGGATCCTTACGCTGACGCGAATACAAAAAGATGACGCACGTCAAAAACCGCTCAGCATGGCGCCTCGCAGGGTGAGCACGCCGGCTCGCAGGAAGGTTTGCCCACCGAACCTGATCGCCAGCATTACAAACAATTGGAGTTCAACAAGAGGCTGTGGGGGATGGTCACGCACAAGGGGACGCGGATAGGGACCTGCAGAGCAAGCGGGGCCCCTCCTCGTGGCGTCCAGTCCCGTGCCTGGCGCTAGCACCTCCGCTCACGCATCAACGGGCGCACGAAGCAGAAAAGCCGCGGCCTCCGAGCCCTGAGACCCACAGAAGGGGACCCGGCGCAGGGTCGACCGGCTGCTTGACTGGGCCGGCAGCCGCCTCTCTGGACCTGAGAACCCAGTGAGCTGAAGAGGCCCGACATGGGCGCCCAGGAGCCCGCCCCCAGCTCCTTTCGAGTGCCGGCCCCAGCCTCGCCCCAGCTCCGGTACTCACCGTGCAGACGCCGCCTCGGCTCCCACAGACGTCAGCAGGGCAACCTTGCCTTACCAAACGCCACAGCTCTTCTTCAGCTGCAGCGCCGGCCGCAGTTCCGAGGCGGGGCTTCCACTCACGCACGTGGGCGCGCTGCGGCAGGAAGTCCCGCCCCCCACTCTAGATGCCGCCACCTGATTCGCTGCCGCGCGACCGCAGACTTGTGCAGCGCGGTAGTGGAGAGCGCTGGGGGACCTTAAACCTGGCTTCGCCGGCGGTGTTCCTCCCGGGATTAGGAAGCAGGAAGAGGAGGATACTGTGGTCCATCCAGAAGGGCTCTACGCCAGCGCACGCACGGAAACGTATTTTCTTGCGTTCCTGGTTTAGTTTTCGTGCAGTAGCTGTCAACGTTTTGAAACTACTATATGTCTGGGGCCTTGCGAACGTTTCAGCATTTAATTTACAACCCAACCAGCCGATGTTGGAGGTGCAATTTTCCGCAATTTTTTCATACCTCTCCTATTGCTCAAGGTAGGTCCGCCTGACTTTAAAGGTCCAGGCTTTCTTTTCTTTTTTTTTTAAAGATTTTTATTGGGGAATTGGGGGATGGGAACAGCACTGAGGAATTGAGGGAAGGGGAACAGACAAGTTGCTGTCGTTTTGTTCTTCAGTCTAATTGTGGAGGACACGTTGCTTCACTGGCCCAAGTTGGCACCATCATTGCGCTCTTCCTGGGCGAGGCATATCAGTCACCGGATTCTGACTGCGGCTGCTGGCC